ACTTACCATGCAAAGGAATCTCATTTGCACGACAACCAACCACTCTACTATACTCTCTGAGTATCCCGATGCCTGTGATAACTCCCTCTCTTATCCTGTCTAACATGGGTAGCGTTAATTCTTCCTCTGAGATACCGCACTGTCTCACGCAGGCCCTCAGGCCTTTGTACACTTCCTCTTTTGGGCAGCCATCGACGAGTGCCACATGGCATGCAGCCACGAAAATGAGGGAGAAGAGGGAACCAAGAGAGGGATTGTTGCAAGCGCGGGCAAGATGCCAGGTGCATTCGTTGAAGAACCGTGGCCAATCAAGGTGAGCCCGAATGCCCGGGAACAGGTAGGGCAACTTGAGACGCTTGCACAAGGAGTCGACATCGTTGTTGCTACCGAGGTAGTGAGACCAGTCGGCGTCACTTTGAGGAACCTGAGCGAGAAAATGAAGTGCATGCGGATGCCAGCGACCACTGTGTTGGTTGTTGGCGGATCCTGGGTCGTCTTGTTTCATGTCTTTCGAGTCATCGAAATCGTCTTCCTCATCTGTCTCTGTGTCCGAAGCAATTTCATGAGAGCAAGCCTGTGGGTCAATCTTGGGACCGGAACCATCACTGGGCTCATGAAGATTGTGGAGCTTAGGAGGAGACTCGGAGACCATGTTCAATCCCAAGTGAGGATACTCGAAGACCCAACGATACTGAAACTGGGACATGGCGGCGGGCTAATTCTTGGGCAAAGCTTGCTTCTGGTAACTGGAAGTAGCCGGACAGCAACTGGTAAAGACGATAGGCTATAGGGTTTGTGGGTATGTGCAGTGTTTCCTGTGTTTCCTATGTTGATTGGAGAAGTGTGAAGATGGTGTAATGATGGAGAAGTAGGTTTCCGTTGGGAGAGACTTGGCTTGAATATGTTGCACACGGAGGAGTATTTATTCTATTTTCTGGCTACGAACGGACGGTGATGCAAATATCAGGACATCAGGCAATGAGTGCTAGTTCTTTCTGTTTTCTCCTTCTACTCCCTTGACTGTGGGAGTCTTTGTTCTGAGTTAGTTGCAGCATGAGTACACGAAGAGTCTCACATCTAGTCCATCTTGCATCCGTTGCCTCGAGTTTCAGTTCAAAACTCCACTATAAGGCGGGAACAACGGCTTTCCTCACGGGGCGCCCTTCCATCTCCGCGGGAAACGGCATTAGTCTTGCTGTCCAAGGTCTTAAAGGTCTATGGATGGCGCCGCCACGTTTTCTCCTCATGTCAGTGTCCTTTTGTGTCAGGCTCGTAGTGAGTGATAGGCCCGGGCTGGCCTCGTTGGGCAGAAGCAAATATGTCGTCAGTTGACTTGTCAGGATGGTAGTGACGATCTCACAGTGGAGAGTTGTCGTCGCTTCAGGAGGCTTGTTGTCCCCTGCAAGTCTCGGGCGGTTGCTTTTTTCCCAGTGTCGGTCAGGGTGGAAGCACAAATGGCTATCTGGCCCAATGCATGCAGTTCAGATAGACTACTGCCGTCGTCGTCGTTTGAACGTGCTATAGTCCACGAGGGCTGGGGGCGAATCGTGCTTGCAGCGACTGACATCAACCACCCTCGCAGGAACTCGATTTCTCTATTCTCCAAGGCGCAGGACGCTACGCTATGGGTAGATGCAGACGGCTCAGACTTCCGAGTCTGTCGGTCACCAGAAGGAGAGGGTGTTCACCCTTGCTCATAAATTAACAGGTGAGCTATGATATACCTTACAGTACTGTACTGTCTTGGATGTATGTACGCAGCCGTTTGTTGCAACTCACACCCCCAAATGCTGCTATTCGACGGGCGTCAAACGGCAATGAACTGATCCGGCAGAGTCCGCCCACACGCTATTGGGGGTAACCGTTTCTATATCAGCGCTTGTATGGAAACTTGTGCGCCTCGATCGAGCTGTAGCCGGGTCGATGGGCTCTCTGAGAGACAGGGGACGTATAGACCCTGGACGTATCTAAGATCGGAGAAAAAGATCGAGGTTCGGAGTGGACTTGTCTCATATCACATACGTATTTAGTTAACTTAAAAATAAAAAAGAGAATGGCTCGATGGGTCTGGTCTCGTTAGATCTCGGATAGTCCCTTGTTGGCCTTCCTTGATTCGATATCCCGCCGATCTGAAGCGCCTCGTTTACAGATCGTCTGCGGTGTTTGGATGAGATCGTGTCATGATCAAGTCATTCGATCTTGGAGCTTGAACCCTGGTCCTTGGATCCTGGCCCGAGTGCCCTGCTTCGTCCCGTCAAGTCCAAGCTAGACTCGCTCAGCTTATCTCGTGATCCCGGATTAAGAGTTGATTGCGAGATTGAGACGCTGGAGAGGCAGGCTCAAGAGTTGAGTCCAGGCTTGCCAAGACGTGTGCTTGCAGGATATGGTCGCTCTGAACAAGGGTGACCCCTGACAGTAAGCACATAATGTTCTATGGAGTCTGGCTTTTGATTAATTATTCGAACTTGTTATTACCGTCGGTACTTGGATAGACAGAGATAACAAGGTCTCTCTACCGTGTAAATGCTGAAAGGCCAGACTGGACGATGATACTGACATTTGCGCCTGTGCAACACAACCGCATATGCATCTCCCCCAGACCGGTGAGACGGGATACAGCATGAAAAGCGCTTACTTTTGTATGCAAGCGGGCGGAGCATGCAAACGAATGAGTGAACGAGAGAGGCATGGCATGGCATGGCATGGCAATGAATGACGATCAGAAGAAAGAGAACACGGCATATTTTTGGGTGAGACAGATCTCATCGTTTGCTGCTGAAGCTGCAGCTGCAAGCCCGAGAGAAGTCATCACATCACATCGCATAGCCTACAGCCAGCCACTCACTCCACTTGTCGCCTCAAACTGTCTCAACTCTTGGAAAACGGGAACGGGCCTGAAAAACTATGACCTCCTCATCTTCCAAAGAAGCCATGATCTGATGCTCCATGCAAGCCTCGAAATCGTACAAACGGATATTGTACTATGCTGTTGCCCGTTCGTATTGTTGTCTCACGCTAATGCACATACAAACACATGGATGTTCCATATTCACAACGCGCTCTACCAGGTTTTCACAGAGGAAACATGATTGCGGTGCTGCAGCTTATTCTCTCGTGCTCAGTTGATCAGTTCAATTCTCGCTGATTCCATGCCATGCTTCCTCCTGCGGGTTGCTACAGGACGAGGAGGCGGGGAAAAAAAGAAAGAAACGCTCTGCCATGGCCTGGTTTTGTAAGACAAAGGAAATTGATAGAAGAACGGAAAAAGAAAAGATGAGAAAATCTCGAGTTTCGTGAGTCACGCTCGAGTTCGCAGTATATTCCGATCCCCCGCTTGGACCTTGGTCAATCTTTCGGTCCATTGTCCTTTTGGGATAGCAACTCGTGGTTCTTGTGTCCGCGTGTGCTTTTGGTCGTTGATCTTGCAAGGCGGAACAGCTAATAAGCTACCTAGTTCACTATTAGCATGCTTTCAAGATAGGAGTGATAGTCTAATACCTCTAAGATAGTCGATCATAGCTCAAGTGGCTATTGAAGGTCGAGTTCCGTATTGTTAAGGCAACTCATGCTCAAGTCTGCTTCTTGTTCTACGCCTTGTCACCACCGCCTGTATCCTTATCCTTGTCCTTGTCCTCTTCAGCCTCTCCCTCCTTCTTCTCAGCAGCCTCGACGCGGGCGACGGTCTTATCGCGATGGAAGTTTGATTGCTCTCTCTTATTCTTGGCCATCATACCGGCACGGGAGAGTGTCTCGATGGTGGTTTGGTCTGTGAGGCCGAGGGTCATGCGGCGCAGATCCTCGCGGGTCTGCTCGCTCATAGTCTCCTTCTTCTCCTCGGGTTTCTTGTTCTTGTTGTTGTTGTATGCCATGATGTATACCTTGCTTAATGATAGTTGATGTATATATCTTGTAGTAGTAGTAATAGTCAAGTGAAGCTCGAGATGTTGATGAATTGAACAAGAACAAGAAGAAAAGTGTCAGTCGTGACGGTCAGTCTCAAATAGAAGGAAAGTCGTCAAGAAGGAGCGAACGGCGTTGACAATAGAGTCAACTGCTTCATTGAGGTTTCCTATCATTGACGCAGCGTTTGCATCGCAGGTCAATAGGCACCTCATACAGAGATAAAGAGAGAATAATAGCATCAAGCACAATAAGGAAACGAGACAGAAAGTGAACGAGCGTTTGCTTCAATAGCCAAAGCAGGCACGGCACTCACTGCTGCATTCATTCAACCTAATAAACCATGAGCTCATTCAACTACAATACTCTAGAACTTGCTATAGCTTCTGCCAAGAGATATATCTACAAATTCATGGTTGAGAGGCTGTAGGATGTGCAACGTAGTAAACCACGGAGAGCCCGATCATATCAACAAGAGATGCTTTGAGTGTTCAATTTCTAGTTTATTATTAGGTTCCGATGACAACGGCCAATTCCCAGTGTTTTAGACATGATTTATTATTAGAGTTAGATGACAATTGTCAAATCTTAGTATTCTAGACACTGAAATGACCGTGCAACACGCCTTGTTTAATGCGTGCGATGCTCGACCATTGAGTTTTGTGCACGGCAGGACTCTCAAGTGCAATGTCACGTACAGACGATAATAGTCCGATGTGTTCGTGCTTGAATCATAAGTGATGTATTAACTATCTATAATTGCTCTCAATCTGAGGTCCCAAAACCTGAAACTCCAGACATCATTGTTGACTAGTCCCTCTATAGTCTTTGTATTTTCATGTCGCGTCTCAATATACTCCAATAGAAATAGTTCGCAAGTCGCTTCCTGTGCCGGCAGGACGACCGAATCATGCTCGATATGTACAAAATGCAATGGTAGAAACCCAGCAGTCAAGCGTGTGTTTGCTGACTGGGTACAGGGGGAATATGGGTAAATGCTAAGCGCCACCCATGGTCATAATGAAACCCAAATGCAAGTAAACGACGATGCCACCTTGCGAGGTACAATCCAAGATTCCATTTAAATAGTCCCAAGGCGACTATGGTTCGAACTTCGACTTGACCTCTTCTTCTTCTCGGCCACCGGTCGAATCTATCTTCTCGAGTGGCTTATCGTCCACCTTCTGAGCCTCGGTAATGGGTTCCTCGCAGATTGAACTTTGATCTGCCCAGCTCACGGTCCTCTTTCTTCTCTTGGGCGTAGCTGCATTCTCCTCTATCTTGTCTTGCACGATCGCATCTTTGTCCTCTGGGCTCATGGTGTTGATACTCGTACGAGGAAACTCGGCGGATTCTCGAGTCGGCGTCATTGGTGGCCGACTACCAGAGTATCTCGATGCTTGCATACGCAAGGAGCTAGTTCGCATGCGACTCATTCGTGATGTGTCTCCTCTGTTCATGTCGGCATCCCACTCTGCAAAGTCTTTCGCACTCCACGACGCACGGTGGGTACGGCCACTTCGAGGCAGACTGTTGACCGAGTGACGACTCGAACCGCCACTGTTTGCCCTGCGTCGGTTGAGTGGATGTGCTGGATGAGAAGGGATCTGCGAGTTTGAGCCCTCTACCATTGGGGACGCATTGCTCTGGGTATTGCGTCGAACGTTGCTAACACTGAAGATTGACTTGGATAACTCCGCAAGCTCATCCACTTCGTCTTCCTTGGGCTTTGATGTACCTGCTCTATCTTCCATGTGTTCGAAATACCTTACTCGCAAATCATCGATCTTATCTGGGAAGTCCTCGCGGTTACGAGACAGAGACATCCACGTCGATATCATTCCGAGGACGATCAGGACCAAGATGGCTGCGGTAAGGAAACACTGAACCACAAGGATGATCATGCCAATAGCTGTTGCTGCAACGCGGCTGAGGTCGAGGGTTCTCAAGAATGCGATTGAAAGGCCCGTAGTGATGATCTTTGAGATCGATAGTAGCCAAATCGCTGCTGTCGTATTGCGAGATCCTTCAAAAGGCCTCAGTTTGATGATAATGACCAAAGCGACGATTTCAAAGACAAAGAGACCATAGACCTGGGCCAAGGGGCTTGCTCGACCTCCACCGATAAAGCATGCTCGGACAAACTGATATGCTAAGTAGACCGTGAAGAACCACCACCGAGAGAGTCGATATCGTGCCGAAAGCCAACCATAACGCTTGATGTAGGGCTCATCTTGATGAACCTTTGGTCTTTCAGGGTTCTTGTCGACAAATTTGATGCGGCGAATAGGCAGACTGGCAAAGAGGCGCGGCTTGTGAGCCTGTTCCTCCTCGCCGATGGAGCTTGCGAGTGTCGTTGCCACAAATGGGATCTTCTTAAGGACCAACCCTTGCTCAAAACGAAGCGTATCAGATACGACCTCATACTTGCCTTCACGTAGCCTAGATGAGCAAGCATATGCTGTTAGGCCAGCAAAGCCCAAGAACATCACGAAAATAACTGCAGCAATAGCAGTCGGACCCGGCGGACCGTTGATCGAGAACTGGAACATGGCCAGTGTCATCATGACGAAGAAAGCGATAAATAGTGTTCGAAGTAGGCCCGCGGCTATGTATCCGACCCAATGTGAACGAAAGAAGTCAAAACCATCGGACTTGATAAGCTTGAATTTATGACACAACTCAAGGACGAGCTTGGCCGCTGCCACGAATAGGGCAACGGCCGCTAGGACAACAAGGAGCCAGATAAGCCCAATGATGAAAGCGTCATTTCGAGGGATGCCAACCACAGACAGTACACCGGGGAAGCCAGAATAGTCGCCTGGGAGTGGCATTCCAGGATTTCGAGGCTCACCAGCCCAGTCATAGTCATATGGGTTGCTGGAGTTGAAGTCGTGGCGACGGGTCAACGAGTGGACAACACTCTCGAGTTGGGGAACAGAGCGTCTTCCAAGGCTTCTGCCAAAGATCTGCTGCGCAAGACCACCACCGTTGTTGATGGGGACCGATCCTGCAGAGCCAACTTGACTGGCGTTTCCAGACACGCCAGCAAACGGGCTAATAGCATCAATCATGTCGAGGCTTGCAAACATGCCAGCAGTCCATGCAAAGTTGCTCCACCAGGCAGGAAGCAGGGCAGGCCAGTTGACAGATAGTGCCCCGGAAAAGAAGATCGATTGAAAGGTTTCAAAAATGATCAGAATCGAAAAGGAATGGGCGTAGTGCATTCTTATATGCGGGATCTGAACGCCATAGATCGCTGTTGTAAACGAGGCCAACACCGCGAACACGGTGAAGGCTCCCAGTATTGATCCCACGATCTCAGGCTGTGAAAAGGTCCTTCCGTTACTCATAGTAGCCTGGAAACACCCAATTTCTGTCTGTGTTGAGTTGGCAAAGATCCGGATGCGCGAGTAGCCTTCCAAGTCGGGGATGTTGAGAGCAATTGACGGAATTCCTGCAATGTCATTGGCAGATATTGAAGTTGTAATGTATGCATCGATGAGTTGACCGGCCTTCAACGGACAAAGGCTTGTGACGTTTTCCGCACAAGGGTCGTAGGTTTTGTTAAAACGCTCTTCTCCATATACCTCAATAGAAAGATGCACTAGAATCTGGTTAGACTGATCAAGCAGGGCGTAATAAAGTTTCGCAACGTACTCATGACACTTTCCTGGCGGATGTTCGTGCTTCCATAGACGTGAAATGACACAGTGAGGTTATCAGAGTAATAAGCTGTGTCGAAACCCGTCACATTGAAAAGACTTCCGTCATTCAGACAGTCGTCAAAGTCACCCGTGTATAATGATGGTGTCCGACTAACATCGAGCCGTGGGTGGAAAACTCCATTGTCGCCAGTTCCGTTGATATAAACCTTGTCTTGTGCGCATACAGTTGGGATAACTCTTAGAACGGAGAGAAGGCATGATAATGCCGCCAGAGGTCGTTGTGTCGCGAACATCTTGACGATGATATGTGGTCAGGGGGTCGGAAGAAGCGGAACGCGGGCAAGCCCGCCAGGGCGGTCTTTACGATATCGTCGTCAATCTCTTCGGTTCAAATATTATCTTGGTCCAGAGAACGGAGTATGTCACGTTATCGAGGAGTTTTGGTGGTAGAAATTCGGTCGATTCAGGCATGTAGATCAGGAACTGCAGGTCTCAGATAGGAAGTTGATGTTCTCGAGCAATATTTCGACAATTTCGCATGCGGCTATAACGGCGTAAGAGGGTTTCGGCGCAAAAAGGTGAACGCAGCGTTATCGAAGATCGAGCATACAGAGGTTGTTCTAGGCAGAGGAGGGAGAAGAAGCCCAGTTACGCGCGGGAGATTAAAGCTTGGTGTTCTTTGTGCCAATGCAAAATCTCGTGTTTGATTGACGTAGGTGTAACCCCCCAAGACTTTTTGAGAGACACAACAGTGGCGCAGCGGCCGGGAGAAGCCACTAAAGATCGGCAACCTCGCGACCTGACAGACGGGAATTTAAGGTTGGCGCGGGATGGCAGCTGCAGGGGTTTTAATTAGAAAGAAAAGATTCGAGATTTAATTCGCAACAGGCGAAGAATGCGAGGTGTTGGATTCGAGAGACTGAACTGATTCTACTCGAGTCAAAAAGAGAGAGATAACGACAAATTGAGACTAGAGCAACCATTGAATCTTGGTAATGTACGAAAACAGGGAAGGTTGGGATTAGATCTTGGAGAAGTCTGATCCAACCACATTTTCTGGGCATGCACTAAATTTGGCGTGAGCAGTAGCGAGAATACTCTCAATTTACCAGGCCACGCTTATCGTTTTTCGGTATCTACTTCTATCACGACATGTTCTAGACCGACCAACCCCAGGCAAAAGTCCTTCTGAGTATACTCCGTGCAAAAAGGGAGATACTGAGTGCAGAGCAGTAAATTCACTCAAAACGCTGCAATCGACTCACACCGAAACTTCGTTCTGAGTACATACTCACTACACGACTCAGTATAGCAAGGTTTTGCCCGCTGTCACCGGCTTCTGGCGTCACCATCGGGGAGTTGGCTGTTATCGATTGGCCAACAACGCTTCTCCAAAACTAAAAATCAAGAGGCGGGGAATTGTTTTTTCCACGTGTCGGGCTTGCAACGATTGCCACTGTTTTCTGCAACTTGGCAGCTCTTGGACTGTCCTTTGATTGGGGAGAGCAGTGAAAGTGATGCATCATGACAATAGCGGCTACAGAACGTTGCAAGTGAAGCCTTCTGTAGTGTGCTCTACAGAAGTTAGCCTCAGGGAGCAAGAAAACACGAGACCTAAGTTTGGGTTGATAAAACAAACTCCACAAAAGGTATCCCAAATTTATACCAAGTTACCTAAATCTTTTTATCAGTTAGGCTTAAGACCTGTCTGTTACCCCAGCATCCGGATAATTGACTGGAATCATGTGCCAAGTTGAGACAATCTATGGCAAATTGTCCTTCATTCCAAGCAAGAGAGCAAGCAAGCTATCCCACTGATGTTTCGGTCAATGCCGCTCTTCAAGGCGCAGACAGCATATTCGCAATACTGTAATTGGCCTTGTCCAACAATGCGAGGCCTGGTTCTCACGGTGTATGATTAGCAGACGAGCAGCTTCAGAAACGGGCATGTCTGCGTTATATATAACCAGCTTTCGGACCGTCGCTCGCAGCTTTGACCCAAGCAATGACTCTTGGCTTCCTCATCCACCTTGAGGTGCCAGGTGTAGTCAAGGTGCGGGTGGGTGAATGGGGCTAGATCGTGGGAATGGGTCTTGGCAGACGATTGCGACTAAATGCCACAAAATGAGGCAAGCTTGTCAGCTGCTGCCCTTCTCCGGCATCTTCAGTGTGTACAATTTGATGTACAATATCCAAACGGGTGTTCTGAGCTCATTTTAGATCACCAAGGGTGTTGCCAAGAACAGACTATGTATGCTTATCTCGAGGGAGAACTCAATTGTAGAGAAAATCAGTCAGTAAATGACAGCACCTCACACCCAAAGAGCACAATCCCACGGGGTTTTTACAGGGTTCCAAAGGGTGCTTTGCGAAGCTGGACATGTTGTCCAGCCATACTTCTGTTGGCCTCCCCTGTCATCAGAGACTCTTGGATCATGACCAGATCTCAGAGAAGACGAGTGAGCCGGATTGGAAAATTTCGATGTTTGCCCTGTAAGAGAAAAAAAACCGATCTCCAAAATAGAGATTTACTTCCGCGTGGCCTTGCCGATCAGTCAACCCTCCAAAAGTGTCGTATCAACGTCACACAATTGCGTGATTACTAAGATAAGATCTGATCCATCATGACTGAGGGGAAGTGAAAAAAGGCGTGCTTCGTCTTTTCCCCATGTGCCGGGCGATCGCCCGGTTCTCGGTGAAAACTGAATAAAGACACCCCAGCAACCGTATAGATGCAAGGCTAGGGAGGATCAGGATCAGAGGAGTAATTACATTCTAGTGTTGACAGAAAGACATTATGTTTCAGATGTTTTAAACTCAAGTGTCCTCATGACAAGACAAGCCAGCTTGAACAAGATATCCGATAGAGAACATCTTACAAGTCACGATTCTTCTTGGAAGCAAGCTATTAGTGGATATAGATGTAAACCGTGGGTTGCATGTGGATGGATGGGTGGTCAATCGGTCATGCCATGGAACATGTCCGTTGAATCTATTTCGTTGACCCTTGTGCTCAAAACGGGTACTGAAGCGTAGACAGGGGGTTAAAGAGGGACCGTACTGCAGATGTAGCAGCGCTTCAAGAGTTTCCTTGCCGCTTCCAAGGTACCAGGAACTGAATTGGTAATGAGAGATTCGAATAGGAAACTGATAATCCATGTTGTGCATCTCGTTCCGCTTTGTAATCGCATTTTATTGTGTTGCGAGTTCCGAGCATTGTAGACATTTCTTCAGCGTGTAACATTCAGCGCCTGTATCTCAACCCATTGCAGGGCTGTAACAACTGCAATAACCTCCTCGGAAACAGTAGAATTCACTCAAGTTTCTCATCATGATGCCCCCATGCGCTCCAACGCCGCCGAGAGCGATGCTCCGACGACCTAGTGCCGCCTTGTCCGGTCACTTTGTCTCTGATTGGCCTTCTGGGTCGTCGGCGGCATGTATAAGCCTCAAGCTCCGAGCACGTCATTGAGAGCTAAAACCACGACCCCATTGTTTTTTTTCCTCTTTTCGAGGGCGAGGATACGTTCAGAGGATGAGGATTGGGTGCATTGGCCGATTTCGTCCGTTTTGCCTATGGAAACGCAATTTTTTCTTGCCTTACTCGCTGCAATCATACACACCCCTCCAGTCCAATTGACCCCAGTAATAAGGGACGGGGAGAGGGGACTAATCATGACAGGGTGGATGTAAGAATTGGATGGATGGATATTGTGGTGGATGTGGTATCCGTAGTCTCGTAGTGGATGGGCTTGAAGATCGAGGTACTTTTCTATATCCCGCTGGGTAAGGTAATTCGATTTAAAATCAAAGCACATCCTTCTCTCCTACTATCCCATTCTCATTCTTCTCGTCCTCTGTTTCTGGTCTGTTCGTCGTCGTCCTTCTCCGAGTAACACCTGTGTAGTCGTTGACCCCCACGATTGCGTGCTCCAACTTCTGTTTTCTTTTACAAAACCCCGAGAAGCGACTCGGTTTTTGGCATTGTTGTTCATCCTCCTTCCTCCTCAACACCACAAAAACCTCACATCACAATGGCTAACACTCCTCACGGTGGTGTCCTTAAGGACCTCTTCGCTCGCGACCTGCCTCGCCAGGCCGAGCTCGAGGCTGAGGCTCAGAAGCTCCCTGCTCTTACCCTCAGCGAGCGACACCTTTGCGATCTCGAGCTGATCCTCAACGGTGGTTTCTCTCCTCTCGAAGGTATGCGCCTCCTGATTTATTCGTGAAGATCTTTTGTCCCCCCCCCGCTGTGATGATGGGGGGTTGACTTCGGTGCCCCGCCCCCGCATCTTCCGACTCCGGCGGGCGCTTTGCGACGGCGGCGATTCTATCATGAGTGAGAAAGAATAGCGATTGACTGGTGTTTTAATAGGTTTCTTGACTGAGAAGGATTACAATGGGTAAGTTGCACTGTAAAATCATTCAATTGCTTCGTTCATGAGCTAACAGAACTCTCTAGCGTTGTTGAGAACAACCGTCTCGCTGATGGCGCCCTCTTCTCCATGCCTATCAACCTCGATGTTGATCAGGCCCAGATCGACCAGCTCGGTATCAAGGCTGGTGCTCGCATCACTCTCCGCGATTTCCGTGACGACCGAAACCTTGCTATCCTGACTGTCGAGGATGTCTACCGACCTGACAAGTACGTGATCATGGCTGCTCCCACTTACATGGGGCATTGGTGCTAATACGGATGCAACAGGGTCAACGAGGCCAAGAAGGTCTTTGGCAGCGATGATGACACTCACCCCGGTGTCAAGTACCTCTTTGACACCGCTAAGGAGTTCTACGTTGGTGGCAAGCTTGAGGCTATCAACCGTCTCGAGCACTACGATTTTCTCGACCTCCGATGTAAGTCACTGGGAGCAATTGAGACGCAACATGAGACTAACAGTGACCAGTCACTCCTTCTGAGCTCCGCGCTCACTTCAACAAGCTCGGCTGGCAAAAGGTCGTCGCTTTCCAGACCCGAAACCCCATGCACCGAGCTCATCGTGAGTTGACGGTCCGCGCCGCCCGCTCCCAGCAGGCCAACGTCCTGATCCAGCCCGTCGTCGGTCTCACCAAGCCCGGTGACATTGACCACTTCACCCGTGTCCGTGTCTACAAGGCTCTCCTGCCCCGATACCCCAACGGCATGGCCGCTCTCGCTCTTCTGCCCCTCGCCATGCGAATGGGTGGTCCCCGCGAGGCTCTCTGGCACGCCATTATCCGAAAGAACCACGGTGCTACCCACTTCATCGTTGGCCGTGACCACGCCGGTCCCGGTAAGAACAAGCAGGGTAAGGACCACTACGGTCCTTATGACGCTCAGGTCCTCGTCCAGGAGCACCAGGAGGAGCTTGGTATCAAGATGGTCGAGTTCCAGGCCATGATCTACCTCCCCGACTCTGACGAGTACCTCCCCATCAACGAGATCCCCGAGGGCACCCGCACCCTCAACATCTCCGGTACTGAGCTCCGACACCGTCTCCGAACCGGCAAGGAGATCCCCGAGTGGTTCTCCTACCCCGAGGTCGTCAAGGTTCTTCGCGAGGAGAACCCTCTCCCCGCTGAGAAGGGTTTCACTGTCTTCATGACTGGTTACCAGAACAGCGGAAAGGACCAGATCGCTCGTGCTCTCCAGGCTACACTCAACCAAGGTGGTGGTCGCCCCGTCTCCATGCTTCTCGGTGAGAACGTGCGACACGAGCTCTCTCCTGAGCTTGGCTTCACCCGCAAGGACCGTGACCTGAACATCCAGCGCATTGCCTTTGTTGCCTCTGAGCTGACCAAGGCTGGTGCCGCTGTCATCGCCGCTCCTATTGCTCCCTTCGAGGATGCTCGCAAGGCTGCCCGCGACCTCGTGGAGAAGTCCGGACCCTTCTTCCTCGTCCACGTTGCTACTCCTCTCGAGTTCTGTGAGAAGACTGACCGCAAGGGTGTCTACGCTGCTGCTCGCCGTGGTGACATTAAGAACTTCACCGGTGTTGATGACCCCTATGAGACCCCTGCCAAGCCCGACCTCGTTGTCGACCTTGAGAAGCAGAACGTCCGATCCATTGTGCACCAGATTGTCCTGCTCCTTGAGAGCAACGGTCTCCTCGACCGCCTGTAAATGGTGATTTTGGAGGAATTATCTCGGGATTCAGCCGAGGGAGATACCCGCAAGCTACATCTACCTACCGCTTCGATGCGCATGGGTGGCGTGGCTAAAAGCAGCGTCGTGGTATGAGTATTTATTGTACCACTCGCTCTACGAAAATTTGCAAATAACAGCGCAAGTGATAAACGGAATTGGCGTTAATTTGAATGAGACGGGATGGGGAAAAGAAGCGCGAACATCGATGAATTAATTACATCACGTTCCTGGATCAATTAGACGACGAGAAAGTATCGGCATAGCATAGATTAGGATCGATACAATGAAGATCATGATGAAACTATTTTCAGAAGCGAGCATATGCAAGTGATACGTGGGCTGCGTACTCGGCGGCCTATCACGAATGACAGTGTGACGGTGGTCAGTTGTGTTAGGCTGTGAATGGATGTTGCAGGAACTCGTGGCAGTTTGAGCGCTTAATCAATCGTTGGTTGAAGGATTGGGCAGCACCGCTAAGAGTTGAGTGAGTGAGAATATGGGCCGTTAAGATGGAGATTGATGCGTGGCAGGCAGCGGTGGATAGAGATGAGATATTACTTCTGAGTCATGTGAAGAATCTATCTAGTCCAGCACAGGTAGGCAGCGTTTTGCATTCTTCAGAGAAAGGGATCAACACAAAAGCCTCTGTCACACATTCTCATGTTCTAAATATGACTTCCATGTACTTCTATCAGGGGGTCACAGGCGGTTAAGATGTTGAAGGTGGTTGGTCGTCATTCACTCTGTGCCCAGCCTCCAACCTCGCATCTACAGCACTCCCCTGTCTACGCCTGTAAATCTCTTTTAATGGGTGTGGCCGTGCTCGGCTTCGGTTTTGTTCAACAAAGTTGGGCTCCACAGCAGAATTTGGGGAACGGGCCTTGTGAGAGGTAAGAAAACTAAAGGCCTCGATCCGGAGTAACAGAAATACTCAAGCAGGTATTACATAAAATTGATCAACCATATGACTGAATATTTTTGGCGCCTCGACTAAAGATCAGAAGATTTCTTGCTCCCCAAGGGCCGGGCCACGGGAGACGGGATAAACGGGAGCTTCCATGATCGGGCTGTGTAGAGTCAAGATTGCGTATGCGTTTATGTGTTTGTGGTGGCTCTGTCAATGACGAGAAATTGAAATTGGTGGTGATTTGCTTGTGATTTTTACTGGTTTTGGTGTCGAAGCCTGCCTCTAGAGGTTGACATCATCTTCGAGGTATCCGTAGGTCCTACAAGTACAGTTTCAGTTGATCACCGCCGTTGAATTTACTCCCTAGCAAAAGTCCAAGCTTTAGGTTCCGATCCCCTATTAAACGAGTTTTTAAATCGCAGGCTGGGGAGCTAATAAGCGACTCTAAATCAGGAAGCATTGAGTTCATCGCCCGCATTTCATTACAGCCGTGCTTCTGACGGTGAGAAACAAGAATTGGATAGGGAGAGGAATGAATGATACTGCATGGATGTCTTGAGGGTCTTTCTGTCCTGCCTTAGTGCCTGATTCCTTCTCCCAGAACCTGACCTGACCTGAGACCTGGGCTGCAGGGAATGAACCAACCAAGCCGGGCCTGACACTGCGCTTAGGTAGCTTGCTTCCATTCAATGCGCCTCACCTCACACACTTCTACAGCCAGTACAACCATCCATTCCCCTCTTCACGACTCTCCTTTGCTTCGCTGTAACCAAACTCGCCCAACATTACGACTATTCTCACTCTTATAGCCTGAATCTCACTTTGCTTAACCCTCGCTTTCTTACTTGTCATACGCCGATATCATTATCGACTCCTCCTTGCGCCCACTATTCTTGACCGCTTTCTTGAACTGTACACCCTTGGAATTATCGACGACAATCACGAATAACCGCAAAATCACCAGCCGCCATACGATACTCTTACCACATCTCCATGGTCCACCATGTCCTCCAAGGACCACGACCTCGAGGTCCCAGCCGATGAGCGGCCGCGCGATAAGCCAAGACGCTCTAAATCTGAACGAAAGGACCACAAAGATCGCGACCGAGATCATGATCGGGAAAAGCATAAGGACCCCGACCGCGAGCGTCGCCGACACCGCACCTCACGATCTTCTAGAAGCAAGCTCAGTGAGGTGAGCGACACCGTTTCTCACACATCTAGTCGCCGTCACCGTCACCGCAGGGAAAGGGACAGCGACGAGCATCACCACCGCCATCACCGTGCAGCTTCGACCAGTGACTTGGCCAGCTCAGACATGGCCAGGACCTCAACAGCTGCCACCTCTATACTTTCTGATCGCATCTCAATGCCTTACCCATCTTTCAGCAAGGCACACAGTAAGGAGGCCATCGTTAGTCGCGACTCTCTGTCTCTTCCTCGCCAACGTAGTCCCAAACCGTCTACTCCTGAACCTACGGATGCTCCAAATACCGAAGATTCGAGATCCCCCAAGGGTTCTGACAGCGGCAAGCCTGATGTGCCGCTCAGTCCACCCCGAACTGATCTTGATGCGGACAAGACAGCAGTGAACGAGGAGACACCAGAGGATACAGCCAAGGAAGAATATCCAAAAGAGGAAGCCCCCGAAAATGAAACGCCAAAGGTTGAGACACCTAGAGAGGATACCCCAAGGATCCGAACGCCTATAGAAGAACTCCCAGCAGCCGAGGCTGGCCTTGAACAGCCAAAATCAAGAGTGTCAAGTTTATCTCGCTCGGCATCCCGAAACGAGGAGCGCTCCCGTGTGAGTCGTCGGTCCGGAGTCTCGAGCCAAGCTACCTACGTCAAGTCTTCATCGCGCCGCTCTGGCGACAAGGTTCGCCGTTCTGATTCCCGGGCCTCCAGTTCTTCTCATCGCTCTGTTCACCGAACATCATCTACTCGAAGTCACAGAAGGTATGATGTCGATGGAGCATCTTCTCCTTCAAGTGCTCAGGATTCATCTCCCAGGACACCAACCCAGGCCCCGTTCCCTCATGGATACCCGGATGCCAAGCCTGAGACTCCCTCAGTCATCGACGTCCAAGATGTCGACTCGAATCTGCATTCGAAGACGGCAACGCCTGCGTCTGCTTTTGGTGCTGCTCCTCCACCTCCACCACCTCCTCCCCCTCCCGCGCTCGATGTTCACGATATGCCACGAGTCGACTATTTGCTTCAGAATGGTGGCCTGGCTTACACAGCCCCCAAGAATTTCCTTTCTGTTCTACCCCGTCAAAACGGAAACCGACCTTCAAACCCACCTCTAGTCGGCACAGACACTCTATTTGCTCCCTTCCATAATCTATTAGACCAGTACAACACAGTACTTAGCAAGCAGGGTTCAATTGCCGTTGCTACCGGACACCGTTCTGTTGCTCGCAGGCTGTTAGACCGCCTCGAAAATGTCTTTTCTCGCGACCTGCCCCCCCATGGCTGCACTTGCATCATGTGCGATAACCCCCATGAAATTCACGATGGTCTCAACTGGGGCGATGTGTTGGAGTGGGTGAGCGGTCGGATTGACCTCCCTCAGTGGCCGCCTTTTGATCTTGCTGAAGTTGGCACCAAAGCGGCTGAGATCTCCGGTGACAGGCCTCCTCGACCTCAGTCTCCTGTCCAGCTGGACCCTGATATTGCGGAGGAGTTTAGGGAGCACTATCTTCGGCAGTCGAAGAAAGTTCGCTCTGCTGTCGATCGATGGCTCTCAAACACTGGAGAAACACCAGTGCCACCCCCCCAAGATGTCGACGATGAGACATTGTCCTTTGCTATTCTCACAAACCTTGACCCTGAGGACCGCCCTTACTTTAACGCTATCATGACTGGCTCGAAGGAGTTGAAGTCGTCAGTTCGTGCTCCTACACCTGGGCATCGACCACGAACAGATTTCCTCATTAAGACCGGCCTGGCCCTGCAGCGACTATACAGACTGCAGCAAGTGCCACGAGACGCTGAATCGGCTACGTATCTGGTTAAGAACCCGCATACGCATGATCTCCTCGTTGCACTTTCCAACATCAACAATTCAGAGTGGGAGATTCTCATTTCTGGACGCTTCGACGGCTTCCTCTGGTCAGGAGCTGACGATGATGTGCCGCAAACTCCGCTCAACGAATCGCGCGGACCGACTCCGGCCAGTGCCTATTACAATACCCGAACACTGAGCCCCGGACCTCGAGCTTCATCGTCGTTCAGTTCGAGAAACACGACTCCTTTTTCGGTCTACTCACGAGGTACAACACCAGCCTCTTTCGTCAGTGTGAACACCACAGGAATGCCCGGAAGTCGACAGGCTGTCTCAAACGATGAGGAGATGGAGATGGCAGCCATTGCCGAGATCGAACGAGAGATCTATAAGGGAATGGAGACTTTGGAGGATGCCTTCGAAAAGTTGCATAAGAAGGCCGAAGTTGTCCGGAATGCACTGCGTCAGCGAGGAGCTGCTTTGATGCAGAACCTGCAGAACCGCCGTCGCATTGACGTGCTCTCCGGTCCCAACTCTGGAAACTCCCAAGCTTCGGGCTATGAGCGCCCGGCTTGGGCTGGCGAGAGCGATCGTGATCCTGGAAGTGACGATGACTGGGCATTTGATGATGTCGACATCATGCCTGATGATTCGGCCAGTAACATCAGTAGTTCGCGACACCGACGACCTAAGAGGCGTACGGAACGACGAACACCTGCACCGATCAACGAAGAGGATGAGGATTGAGCGTCAGACTACGATACCCAGAACTCCATGGCATGATGGGGGAGGATTATATGAATGACGACAGAAACGTTTGAAGGAAGCGCATCTTTTCCAGTATAGAGGTCTCGAAAACCAGTCCAATGACAATTGTCACGAGAATATGTTTGATTCAATAACGACTTGTGAGAGCACATCAAGATGTTTGAGATTATTTGTCAGATACCACGCATGTATTCCCAACGTTGGAAAATGGGGACTACGCTATACCTCGACTATGATTGGGGAGGTTTATTTTTATTTTTTGCTTTGCTTTTACTCATTCTTGCTATGTTG